ACAGGAAGATTGCAATATGGTTCAATATAAAAACCTGTAACTTGTACTACAGAATTCAAGCTTTCCATGGTATGACTAAAGAAAACTTATACCCAGGAAAGAAAAAAGAAAAAAAACACCCAAGTGATGGCTGTGGCAATGTCTTATCCCAAGGTACCATGCTATGCCTTATTCTTCTCTTCTCTCACAGAAAAGAGGGGGACAACATCAAAACACACACCCACCCTAGGCATATTCACATTCCAGATCTTTTTAAAGGTAATGCAGAATGCTACCCCCAGGGTGGAGGCTGAAATGAAGATGTGTGCAGCAGGCATTACTAACATGACTTTGCAGAAATAAAATCTCAGGAAAATGTTATATAAAGCCCAGCATGTAAGTCATCTATAAGTATAGTTCAGGATTTTATTTAAATCTTTGAATCACGATAATTAAACATTGATTAGAAGCTAGTTATGGAATTTAATTTTTATGTTTCTCCCCAATTCATCCACTAAAAACATTAAAATCAAAAGTCCAGAGTAAGCTATCACCTTAAGGCAAAGTGGGAAATTTTACAGAAGTGCTGCCAGAGGCTTTTTTCAAAAAGTGTAATACAATACCTGCTGAGATTTATTGAAACGATGGATCTCGTCAATAAAGAGTATGGTTTTTCTCTTGAAGAGTCTTTTCTCATTCTGGGCCTGGCTGATGACATCTCGAACATCGTTTGTCTTGGCACTTGTGGCCGACAGTGTCACAAACCTCGTGCCGTTCTTTTTGCTGCTGTTGGCTATGATGTGTGCCAGCGTAGTCTGAAACAGAAACGGGGAAGCTTTGCAAAAAATCAGTTTGGACACAAAGTACTCATTTGAAGGAAATACGTAAAGAACAAAGCTATATATTATGGACATAGGGATAGTGTTGACAGTTTAGAGAGCAGGGTATTTTAATTCATGGTATTCTAGCACACAGAAGACTTGAAAACTTCCTGCTAGAGGTGGCTGCCAATTCCACCGCTGCATTTGTAATGCCTGCGCTTTTACGTACCAGACCTATTCTGTCTAACACTGAAAAGGCCAGCAATGACAGCTGGCTCCTTTACCATGGAAGAAGAACTCTTCGCCAAATATATTTCTGTCACAGAAGACAGGCTGACTGCAATTTGCTGTGCAGTTATTTCGTAGAGCATATTAAGGGATAAAGAGCTCGACGATGCCAAGACACCTGCAGAAGAGTTTACAGTGTGACCACATGGAAGAAATAAAAAGCTACAGTGCTGTTAAAGTCTCTTCTATTTCCACTGCACATGAAATTAACAGAAAGCAGTTCTCTATAAAAGCATGAGAATGTTAACACTGAAAAGTTATATATATATTTAAGAAAATGTAACTCTTTAAATCTGAATAGTCAACAGCAATCAAATGCTGGCCCATGGAAGTAAAAGGCAGCTGACTGAACAAACTGTTGGCTGGTCCTAGTGAGCTGCTATGTTGTTTTTCTTTCCTCACAGACAACTCTTTCAAATCAGAATTTATTTACAGGGAATTTCACTGAGCCTACCAAAGCACCAAAACAACTTCTACTACATCTTCCAGGCAGATTTACTACACCTGAACACATCACAGGCAATTTTTAGACTTTCCTTCACATCCCTTAGTAAAGGCAGGTATATCTGCATGTCCCAAGCAGAGTCTATCTCCATTTGAAAGTACTGCTTGAGAAAAACAGGTGATTCTTCCATCGAGCACACTCTTCTCTTAAAGAAGGAGCCCAAGGGGACTGAAGACAGGAGAGCCTCAGCAGATGAGGAGTGGGACAGGTGCCAACAAAACCGCTTCGGAAAGTGTTCCAAGTACTGAGGTTAAAACAGCAGGTGCTTTAAGATCCTCTTGCAGGGAAGCTGCAGGAGCAACCACCTACCAGTGGTTATGCAGCACTGCTCTCTCCAGTTGGTCTCCTCGTCTCTGAAATGGCAACCAGCCCAAGATGTGAAAGGGAAGGCTAATGGGGACGACATACCACTATTTATTCTTGCTTCAGTTTTAGTAAGGGCTTCCTGATTGTTTTCAGAAGAGGTGTCATTTCACAACCTTACACAAGACTCGCATCCCGAGTCAGATCCCTCTTTGTATCGCTGCAGAAGACAAGACCAGACAGACACACTGGAAAGTGCTTGCAGCAAAAGCCTACAGATATCAGGAAGATCTGGAAAAATCAAAAAAGAGAAGTGAAAATATCTTTTGAAACTAAGCTAACAAAATAAAACCAAAGGTCGTGTTTCCTTGCTGCTTTTTCTCCTACCATCTCAAGCAAAAGTCAGTAACATGCTACAGTCTTTCTCCACCTCATTACTACCAGGCAACAACCTAGGGAACACACAACCCAGCGGAGACTTAACTTAAGAAGAGTAGTCTAAGTATGAAGGCACTAGTACAGAAGAACTGCAACTAGTGCACTAAATCCCTAGTTTCTCTCACTAAACTCAGGGGCAATCTATCTGAGGGATAAGAAGAAAATTAAAAATTCTATACAGAGTTAAGGTAGAAGAAAACACACTGAATATCCTTCATTACCTAAAATAAATTTTGAAGTAGGTTTGATTGTTACATTAGAAAAAAGTCTTTTAAAATAGTGACACTGATGCTGCAATTTAATATGGATAAATACATCTGCATCAGAACCAGCGTAACATGCAGAAAGAGGAAACCTAAACAAGCTGATATTCTGCTATACAGGTATTTCTTCTTTAGATCATGTTTTTCCTTATGGGGAGGAGCAGAAGTATTGTTTTATGTAAATTAAGTGGTTATTTATATAAATGAGAAAAGGAGTGATCCTGCAAACTAACCTTTTCCTAACTTCACCAAAAATTACAGCTTACAAAGCTCACGGTGTAATAGCCTTGGCCCTTCCAGAAATCATTCTCAGTTCTCTTCCATTATCCCACCAAACCATCCAAACTCACATCTATCATCTCAAATTTTATGCTGAAAATTGGAAGACCTTACTGACTTGTCTGTTTAGACAGGCTGAAGAAGTGCCACCATAAGGAGCCATTCTGAAACATCAAAACATATCCACCAAGAAACTCATGAACCATTACTCACCAATGAATAACACTTTCAACTTGAGCCTGCGGTCACTTATTTCCAGATCCATTACACACGGAACAAACACTTAACTTCCGAAACTCTCCTCCACCATCCTGCAAATTTCTTCACGTCAGCCCAAATGAGAATATTCTTTCCCAAGGGCTGCAACCATCCAAGATTTACAAAAAGCCATCAATCAAACAAAAAAGCAGCCAAACAAGCCCACTCTCAGCAACTACGCCTCCAGTTCTTCCAGGCTTTGATACGGGTTACGGATGAAATAAAAGTAACCCACAAAACGTGCTTGGCTCCACGCACCTCAGATCAGATGTGCTGGTTTGGTTAGTTGGACATTTGTACTAGGAGACAAGAATTTTCTGTAAATCCACAAGTTTCCTTGACTACGCAACTCTCTTCAAGTGTC